TCAATTTTATCTGTTTGAATTTATTATTAAATTTATTGATTAATTAAATTATTATTAATCTTATTATTCATTTAACTAGATTTAAGTTTAAGTATTTATAATTATTAATAATACACAAATATTTACTTTATGAATGGAAGAGAAAATAGTAGTACCAATCAAAAAACAAAAACAAATGTTACAAAAGAGTAGATTGAAATGCTTAAGTATTTAGTTGAAAGAAATGAATCTACAACAATTATTTCCACTACTCTTAATTTATCTAAACGCATAATTAAAAATCATGTTGTTAAGTTAAATAGTTGAGAATTCATTAAGAAGTCATTTTCTGATAAAAAAAAACGAGGTAAAAGACCTATAAACGCTCGAATGAATTATATTATTGAATTATGTGTTTAAGAAAACAGTTTTTGTTAGCAAAAAGCAATAATAGAAAATCTTTCTGAAGCAGGTTTCAAAATGTCTCAGTCTACTATTTCAAGAAAAGTCAAACGCTCAGATTTATCAAGCGTGTTGTGTATGTGCCAGAAGAACGAAACTCAACATGAGTTAACTTCGTTAACTTTAACGAAATTTTTCGTTAACTTAATTAAAAAACGAAACTCAACATGAGTTAATTTCCGTTAATTTTGCTTCCGAAGCGAAATTAACGGAATTTCAAATAAAAACCTTATTTATTTGGATGAAACTAGATTAAATGTGCACACCAACAGCACATATGGCTATTTTCTAAGAGGTGCGCCAGCAATTTTACAGTTGCCTGCAAATCGTGGCAAGAATGTTAGTTTGATTTATGCTGTTTCAACACTGGGAGTGCTGGCTTATGAAATAAAAACTGAAGGCTGGAATGCAGATTCATTTTGTATTTTCATTACTACAATGTCGGAACTAGGGTTTCATTACTTTAATTGCTACAATGTTGGCATTAGGAATGGAGATGTGGGAGCGCCGGTGCTTGTTATGGACAATTGTAAATTCTACTGGAGTCTTTATTTTGTGGCAAACATAAGCATCTCATGACATAGCTGTCAAGTGTCTGCATACACACCACAGCTTAATCCAATAGAATAATGTTTTTCTTTTATCAGGAAACTTGATAAAATATTATGGGTACTACAGAGTTTAACTTAATTCCATTTTACAACCATATGCGTAATTATATAAATACAGCGCTGGCTCGGAAACCATTTTTTAAACAAATAACAGTGGCAGCAACCTAATTTATATTTTGAATATATCTATATAAAAACATAAAAGTTTATTTATTATTTATACAAAATTATATTAGAGATTTTATAAGTAGTTGACTCGTATATAAACGTGCACATAAAAATGAACAAACAGGTATTTAATAATAGATAAATACGCATATAAGAATGAATAAATATGTATATAAAAATAACGAATAGATGCGCATATAAATATAAAAACACGCATATAACACGACACGCATATAACACGACACGCATATAACACGACACGCATATAAGTAGGGGGGGTCCATAATCTTTTTTTTTTTAGATTTTTTATAGTTTAACCAATTTTTCTTAATTAGTTTTTCATGCTGATTCTAAAAATCATAATCATTTTTTTTTCATTTTAATTATTTAGCCTTCTACTTCGATTTTAATAAAAGTAAATATATTGACAAAAAAAAGGCATTGTTAAAAATAGATGAAATTATTATTATCATTAAATATAAGCAAAGTACAAAACTAGAAATCTTTTTCTGTTTAATTTTTCAATAATATACCTTATCATTTATAAGTAACAAAAAAAATTAAGCATTAGGATATATGAAAATAATTCATGCAGTTTGTTATTTACTATTGAAAATAGAAAATAACTATAAAAGTCATCATATGTGATTGAGAATGCTACGTGAACTTTTCTTATAGAACATCTAGGTTATGAGCGTGTTCTTTGGTAGACATAAGATGAAGGTTTGTATTTTTATATCAACAATCAAGTATTTAAACAGAGTAGACCTCCGCGATAATGACCTACATTGTATCCCTAAAATAAAGAACCTCATTTTTCGAACTTTTTTTTAATTTTAATATATCTTTATCTGCTTCAATAATGTCTAGTTCACAGCTAAATGAGCTGCCTTATAACTTTAATCAAGCTAAAACAGAACTCATCTTGCACACCTGATGTAAAGTTTGCTGCTTTTCCATTTTTATCCATTTATTTTTGTAGCTGGTTTCAATTATATTCCATAGTTTCAACTTTTTGGACAAATAACTAAAAACTGCGCGAACCTTCATTTTTTATATGGTTTAAATAATCAAGTATACATCTGTTGAAATTAAATGGGTTTTTTTCAAAGCTTTCCAACTGCAACAACTTAATTAGAAAGTTAATACTAATCATATTTCATCACCAACCAAACACGTAATACTTTTCTCTTTTTTGAAGTCCTGAGGCTAACTTTTGCCAAAAGACTCTAGCAAGAATGATACAACCATTCAACCTCTTTGAGGTATACTTATTAACTGCTTCTAGAAATTTTTTTAACTAGCTATTCACTACGTTTTAGAGTAAAGCAGAAAATTTTAAAATTTGATCACCCAGTTTTTTTTTTGTAAAGCTTTTTAGGTAGCGGTGTTCCTTTAGCCGGTTTATCTTTAGAATTGTTAAAACTTTAGAATTTAACTGAACTTCTTCTGACTGGCACTTTAAAAGAAGATTTATTCTTAACTTGATTAAAGAAAAGTAAAAAAAAAAATGAAATCTTGAATAGCCTTCTTGATAGCTTGAATAACGATTAGAAATAAATAAAAAAAAGGAAATTGAGATATTTTGAAGCATTTGTCTTTTTGATTACTTAAAACGCTTTGTTTAGAAAGAGACTTCAGATAAAACTTTTTTTTAAAGCAATCTGTCGTTTTACTTATTTAAAACTTTTTTTTAGAAAAAGACTTCAGATTAAACTTTTTTTTTCTTAAACGCAATGATTAAAAATCAAATTTATCCAATCAAAATTTGAATAGCATAAATTTGAATGAAAAGTTGCGTAACTTTATACGCAAAGAAACTTTTGCCAAGACTTTTTTTTATATCTTTAAATTTTAAAAATAGAAGTAGAAGGCCAACCATAAAAAATTAGCAAAAACTGAATTGTTTTTTAAACTTTTCTCTAAAAATTAATTAAGAATAACTGGTTAAACAAGAAATATAGAATTTTGGACCCCCCCTAATATAAGAATGAATAACCCTGAAATCACCCGTGCCAGCCGGCATTTGGTCCTAAAAAGACGTCTTATGAAATTTCAAAAGACGTTTTGAACCTCTTTTGAACGTTCAAAAGACGTCTTTTTTGGACCAAATGCTGGCTGATGTTAATCAAGTACACATGTCATACTTTTTTGCTTTTAAAAAGAATGGTTACAATCAAATCATGCATAGATAGTTTTACGTAAGAAATTTAGGAGTGAAATATAATAATTTTTTTATATAAGTTTAATTTTTATATTTTATTCTTTTAAGAATAAAAGATAAAAGTTAAACTTTTATATAAAAAATTGTATTATACGTTCACTCCTAGACAATAATTCGTCAGACTTTTTCGCGTGAACTTCGGAAAGTCAGACGAAAAAACTTTGGTTATTTAAAAAAAAAAATGATGGCAAAAAATATTTACGCTTAGCAGGTTTAAAAACGGGGGTAATAAATTTTTTAAAAACAAATTATCAACCATTTTCAACAAATTACCAACCATTTTAGTAAATTTAAAATACGTCAAATACATTTTATTTAACCGTATTTTTAACTTTCAAACTTTAATAAATGGATGATAAGATGTTTGATTTTAAATGCAATGATCACAATGTTTCATTGCTTTAAAAAAAAAACATTTTACCATAACTTAAAAAATGGTCAAAACCTTCTGAGGTTTTCTTACCTCCTAGTTCATTAAATGTGTGGATTTTATATCTTCATGATATCACACAAAAGTATTCATTCTATGATGATGGTTCTATGAGAATTAAATATAGAAAATCATAATTGAAATATAGAAAAAATCATAAATGAAAAGCTAACTTATTCAAATAACTATTATTGCAATTGTAAAACATGCTATACAAATGTAAAAAGAATATTAGCAAAAATACAAAAAAATATAAATGCTATATCAAGTGGTCGTGAAATTCTTGAAGAAAACTCACAAAGAATATTTATATCATCACCAAAAGCAGAAGAAACGGATTGTATAATATTTTCAAACAAACAAATCAAGCTTGATCAAAGAATATTTTTGAACAAACAAGTTGAAGCTTAATCTTTGTTTTATATTTTTCATCATTAAAACCATCATCTGTTTAGGAATGAAATTGATCATATGGTTTATTAAGATAGCTTTTACATTTTTCTCCTAGTTCTTTGTGAAAGTACTAATAAATTAATCTTATATTAGTCATAGTTGTAGAAAAGCTTTTTAGCTGAATAAGTGTTCAAAAGAATATGTTGAACAACTGGGTAAAAAAATTTCTCTGGATTCAATATGTATCAGATTGTATTTAATGTTTCTTCTTTCTGGTGTAGATAATATAATAACCAAATTATGCAGACAAAGGTTATTAATAATAAAGTCAGCAGTACTTTTAGCTGCAGTGCTGTCAATGCCAATACTGGAATTCTTTTAGGGACAAGTGACCACGATTTGAGAGTCTATTACAATGAGACCGAAATGCATCTGATTGTGTACTTGAACATCCCCTATGACAATAACAGACAAGTAACCCAGCCGGCACATCGACGTCGTTTCGACGTAGAAAGTTTTATTTTAATAAAACATCGTGACGTCGAAACGACGTCGAAATTTGGTCGATGAAATGAAACAAATGCCGACGTCGAAACTAACGACGTCGTTTCGACGTAACACAAAAACGTTCATTTCGACTTTTTTTCGACGTAGCAAGAAACATTGATTTGACACGTATTTTGAGGAAAATCTGAGGAAAAAGCAAAATAACAAAAAGTATTCGTTAACATTCTTTTTAAATTACTTTTAGCAGCAAAGCTATACATAAAAATCAGCATAAAAAAGCATCTCTGACAACGATTATTCTTCATTAGGAAACTTGCGAATAATCGATCCTCCACCATTGGATCGCCGAGGCGCATGTTTTAGTTGAAGCATGATTATTTGGCATATTTCAGCTGTAGTAGCCTCTTTGTTCTTGAAAAGAACAACATCTAAGAAATAATTTTAAACATTTTTGGTACAAAAAATTTATGTATCATCAAAGCTATTTTGACACACTCGAGTGTATCACACATGTGTGTGTCAACATAGCTCATTTTTCAAATGTATTATGGTGTACACCATAATACATAATAAAAGAGTTATATTGACACAGACCATAATACATTAAAACAAAACTCAGATAAGCAGATATAAATTATGCCACAAATTTGTTTGCTAAATCACAATTATCTACAAGATACCTAATTATGGCCGATCAGATACAGAAGTCCAAATAATAACAAAACTTAAAATAGTGTAAATGATTATACTAACAATAATTATGAGAAAAATTTATAGCTTACCAACTATTGCTCTGTAAATGTTAGGTTTTGAGAATCCAAACTTTACACCAGATCCATACATATTACATAACGCTTGTGTAGCATTGTGTAAAAAACTGCAATAAAACAGATATACCGAAAGCTATATACATAATACTTATATATTTTAAGTTAAAAATTATTTATTTATTAAATAGTATTAAATTTAAAATAACAATAAATTTTAAATAAAAAATTATTAAAGATACAAAAATGAATATTATTTTATTTCCCGTTGACATTGTGAACAAGGGGAATAAATACAAGACCATTATCAATATATGGCATAACAACAACTTTATACAAAATGTCATCTCTTTCAATTAATGTACGTGTAAGATTAAGGGTTCTCTTTCGCAAAAGTGCAATATTGAAATTCTTCACAAGGTTCAAGAAAGAAACTTTCCATGCTATCTTTTTTATAGGTTTCACACATACAAATGTTGTTGTCATTAATTTCTTTTACATTAGCATATTTTCCACACTTTAGTAAAAACCAGCTATCTTTATGCTTTATACTTATTTTAGTGTACAAAAATTTTTCAGAATACATAGCTCCACAACTTTCTAACTTGTGTGCTCGCTTGATAATTTGACTTACAGGATTTGTGGCATTACGGACAAGCTTCTTTAAAATTTGGAGGTGATTCTCAAAAGCAAATGCAGAAATTGCATCAAGTGGTAGTTGATTACCAGCTACGTCATCTTGGAGATGAATCAGATTATGAACATTGTATGTCTTAAATGTATTGCCATAAATATTTTTTGTGGTAGAAACAAAATATACAAGCAAATGATGAGCATATTCCAGCAGAGAATTTCGATACTCTTTTTTTTTTTTTTTAATTCACCTCCTCAAGGCCGAGAAGGCCACTACAGACGAGGAGGCTACTTATTTGTGGTTATAACCCTCTCTCAACTCTATAACTCCGAAACACGAACCTTGACAAGCAAGGCCGCTGCGCGGAGAAACGAGTTGAGCGCGGTACTACCAGGGACGTGGTGGGGATCGAACTCGGAACCACTCGTTTATGAAGCGAGCGCTCTACCACTACACCACTACCGCATATGATTCTCAGCATAATTCTAATAGCTATTGACAGATAAAGAAAATGTGTGTAGACTTCTTTTTTAACAACCCCTCGAAGTACAACAAGACCGCTATATAAAAGGAATTCCCTAAATTCAGTTGCTTTCCATCGCTTTACATATTCTAGAGATCAAGGTTGACGAGCAAATTCACTAGGCATTTCATTATTTAATGATACCATACTTTCTGATACACGACTAATTTGCTGAATTGATAGTTTACACAATCTTTGACCATCAGTCAAAAAGTTTAAAAATCGTTTCATAACACCTAAACAAACCAAATGCATATAGTCTAAGACAAACCCAGAAACACAAGGCAAATTATAATCAATTAGGGGAGATTTAGCATTTTAATGTTCATCATTTTCATGTTGATATTTTAAAGACTAAAATCAAGATCATTTCTTGCAGAACAATTATTTTTTTGAAAAACAACTCGTCCATCATGCCATGCACCTTTAATTATACATCGCTCACACGAATAATACCCAGTATGACTTTTGATACACTTAATGAACGCTCTAGCAGGTGCGTCACATACAAATGCTTTAATAGAGACTGTGTACCTATGGTTTTCATAGAGAAATCCTACAGTGTTCAATAACTGATATTAAACTAGAAAATCTTTTAAAAAATCATTAATGAAACTAGGCTTCTTGTTACCTGTGTATACTGAAACAATAAAAGGTTTTAGACTGTTAAAGCGACAAAGAATTGGCCATAATTCTACGCTTGAAAACTTAAACAAAGGAATCCCATCTATGCCTACAATTAATGCAATATTTTGAGTATTTTCATTAGTTATAACTGTACTATCAAGTGTCCTTTTAATTCCAGATTCAATTCCTAAATGAAAAAAATCTCCAGCACATCGCGACGTTAGAATTATCTTGTGCTATCTCCAATTTTTGAAAAAATTGAGATTTTATTATTTTCGAATATTTTAGCATTGTGTTGTTCTACTTTAATTATATTGAAAAAAAATGAAACTTTTAACACGGTATTGCATGCAATATTGCATTGCTCTATCTCCTTAATGAGCAAACTTGAAAATATTATCTTGTTCTATCTCCAATCAACCAATCATATTACAATTACAAAGTTGTTCGGAATAATTTTATCAGTTTTGTTGTTTTCAAAATGGCAACTACAAATATTGACCAAGAAATGGAACCTGCCCTAAATCAAAACGAAGGTAGTTTTTCAACTTAATTTGTATTATAATTTTGGAAAAGTAGAATTCGACTTTCGCTTGTGCCATTTTAGATTAAATTTAAAAGTTATTATTTATACATCCTGGATAACAAAAAATTAATATTTTAATCGTTAGAGCTGCTTGGCATTACACCTTCTCGTCGGTAGCTCCATGGTGGGGTTTCTAGGAAACGTAAAGCTGATAGGAGTAGTTGGAAACAAAGTGTAAGAAAAATTCAACGTCAGTCGGGTAAAGCTTATAAAAATACGAAAGGAGAACAAATGCCAAAAAGATCTATTGTTCCACTAAAAAGTTGCAGAAATTGTAAATTTAAATGTTCTACCAGTATATCTGAGATTTAGCGTCAAATAATATTTGATAACTTTTGGACCTTAGATGATGACGGAAAAAAAACATTTCTATTCTAAAACTACTGAAAATCTGGAGAAAAAACGCTGTCGGACAGCTGCTGGTGACAATTCAAGAAGAAAAACATATTATTATAGCTTTTTTGTTTCTAATACACAATATAGAGTTTGTAAATCATATTATCTTTCAACATTGAATATTAGCAGCCATAGAGTGTTTTACTTTCATAAGTTTAATAAATCTTTAACTACTGGAACACCATTGCAATCAAAATCAGGGAAACATGTTAAAAAAAGGTTACTAGAAAAGTCTAAACAAGTTGTACGAGACCATATTAACCTTTTCCCAAGAATTGATGCTCATTATAGCAGGAAAAAGACACATAAAGAATACATGGAAGGATCACTAAATATAGGTAGAATGTATGATCTTTATAAAATATATTGTGATAAAAATGTCTCTCCTCCAGCAAAAGAACATATGTATCGTTATATCTTTAATCACGATTTCAATATAGAATTTCAAAAACCGAAGAAAGATTTATGTGACACATGCTATGAGTATCGCAACATTGTTAATGCAAGCAATGAACAAACAGATAGTTAAGCACATAAAATGAAGGAATGAAACCAAAACTGAACGTGAAAATGATCGCCAAAATGTTGATTCTAAAACTGCAATTGTTTGTATTGACCTTGAAAATGTTTTAAATTTGCCTAGAGCTAATGTGGGAAACTTTTATTACAAACGAAAACTTTCAAATTATAACTTAACTGGTCATTGCTCGCTTAACAGGAAGGGTTATTGCATCCTTTGGCACGAAGCCATGACTGGTCGTGGAGGAAATGATCTAGCCAGTGCTGTAACATGTTTGCTTTTGAAAATCATGGCTGACCTTGACATAAATAAGTTCATACTTTGGTTCGATTCATGTGTACCACAAAACCGCAATAGTTTCATGTCAGCAGCTTTGTGTGAATTTATAATACGATACCCACAAATAAAAGTAATTGAACAGAAGTTCTGCGAGCCAGGTCATTCTAGCATTCAAGAATGTGACAACATTCATAGTCAGATTGAAAAATCCCTCTCTGCTGCAGAAATATTTAGTCCACTTGGGCTAGAAAGAGCTATTAAAAATGTAAACCGTAAAAAACCTTTCTGTGTTTACCAAATGCAATTAGGAGATGTAAAGAATTTTTCAGTTGTCGCTGGTTTGTCAAGTTATAAGTTAGTGCCTTATTCAAAGGTTAAAAATCTTGTTTATCAAAACGAACTGCCATACCATGTTTTTTTTAAAACCTCGTTTTCAGATAATTATTCACAAGCTCGTATAAATAAGTCTGTCAAGAAAGCAGCATCAACCACTGTTGCAAAACAATTAAATACCAATATACCAATGGCAGCTTGCTTTCGTGCTTCTTATCAGTCTATATCTGTTGCAAAAGCCAATGATATCATTTCCATGTATTCATACATGCCTGCTGTTGATATTGCATTTTATAAAACAATAATAAATTGAACATTTACAAAACATTAATAAAGTCAAAATATTTTTAGGGTTGTTATATGTTTAGTATAAATATAAATAACATATTTATATATATATAATAATATAAATAATATACATATAAATAACATATTTAAATAAAATATTTATTTAGTATAAATATAAATATAAAACACATTGAAATAATATTATTTTGAAATCTTGATAAAAATTTTTGTTTAGCTTGTGTTTTTTTTGTTTGTTTTTTTGTACTTTTATATTCATTTTCCCCCACTTGTTTGGTTTGGATGGTTTTCCATAGTGACATAAAGGCCACTATGAAAGAGTTAAAGCAATGTTTCACAACCTGATGCCCTTCCTGACGTTAACTTGAGTAACAATTTTTTATTTGTAAATATTTGCAATAACTTTTAATAAAAAGTTAAACTCTATTAATGGATACACAGGCATAAGAAAAATAAAATCAAGTTCATCTTGCATGGAGTTTGTGATTAGATTAGTTGAATTGTTGTGAATTATCAGATAGTTACATAATGTTATTTCTTTTATTATTACATTTTTTTTAACATAACTCTTTCCTATATACCTTTCATAATTTATTTTATACGTTTATATTATATTAATACGTTTATATTATTATTACGCAGCCAAATTTTCCGTTTTAAATTAGACGTCTTCGTCTTGTCCAGGGCCGGCGCCTACAGGTAATTAAAGTAAATGTAAGTCGTAAGATCAGTGTCGTTAGAGGCTCTTCTAAAAGTTCTCCTAATTAGGGCCTCATTTTATTTAAAAAAACTTACTTTTTTAGGTAATACAAAAAGCGTCTTATATTTTGAAAAGGGTCCGTTAAATTAGGGGCCCATGCCCCTAATTTAGGGGCCCATGCCCATAAATTAGGAGTGTATGGTACTGCGTAAGAATAATTAGCAGGTAGAACAAAATTTCATCAATTTCTAACATGTCGTTGTTGAAAAATGTACTTAATATGTTTAATATATATGATGTAACAACATAATATTTTTGAATTTTACTAAAAACCAAAGTTATTTTGTTCTATCTCCAAAAGAAGGTGCGAAATAAAGGGCGTTAGCGTAATTTTAAAAAGTTTTTTATCTAAAAATTAATAATAAAACATTTTTAAATCTTGGGAAATACCTAAATTCTCAAAATATTTTTTCAATTTAGCTGCGAACAAATTCAAACTTTGACATCGATTTTCTCAGTTTGCAAAAACATGGAGATAGCACAAGATAATTCTAACGTCGCGACATTTAGAATAAGAAGCTGTAGACCTTTTGCGAATCTTTTGGAAGTTCTGGGTGTCCATTTTTGCGAAGAATTGCAAGAAGCTTGTTTAGGGAAGCTTGTTTAGGGTTTACACATACTTGAAGAACTCCAAACAGCAAGTTCAGCCTGTAGGTCGTCTTCAACATTTTTATCGCTTGGATCTTCGTCTAGTTCAACACTGATAACAGAATCAGAGTCTGAATCTTCCATTATGTTAGTAGAATAATAATCATCACTTAGTGTTTCATTTAATTCACTCGTATCATGTTGATAATCATCAGGAGAAACTTCATGCGAATTACTGCCCTGAACTGAAACAATATCATTTTCAGAAGCTGATGGTGTAGTAATAATTTCTATTGCAGATTGTAAAAAAGCATTTCTCTGCCCGTGTTTTCTAACTCTTTCTGTGGAGTTCATATTTTTAACTTGCTTTATAAACTTTCAACACGTCGTGGTTATATACTTTTTTATGGCGCAATGATTTCTGGACAATTTCGAAGATTTTGGTCTAAACCGGGTTGCTCGACGCGTCGAGCAACCGCTATCCAGTTATATTTTGAGATCAGTGTTCGATATAAAGTCGCGACGTCGCGACGTCGCGACTTTATATCGAACACTGATCTCAAAATATAACTGGATAGCGGATTCGATTGTTTTTTCCGAAAAAAGTTGAAGCCAAAATTGGCCTCCCAAGATGGCGGCGATTTTAGTTCCTTGCGGTGAAACCGATATACATTCTATTTTACTTTATCAAAATACAAAAGAAAATAATGAAATAATACATTTGTAAAAAAAAATAACAAAAAAAAACATATAAACAAATTTTATAATAATTAGAGAAAAAAAAAGAAATTATTTTTTTAAATAATTGAATTTATTGTTAAATGGAATGAGTTAAATTTACAATTTTAGTTTTATGTATTATTTATGTGCCTTTTAGTTCTAACTAAGAAGGCTATAACTAAGAATCAGAACCTAATGCTGTATGCTAGAAGGTTAATAATTTCTGCTGTTTACCATTCATAACAGCATGGTAAACAGCAGCAATCATGTCTACCTACAATTTTATACTTTATATTTTTTAAGCAAGATACCAAAATGTACAAATGGTGCATGAACTATTAACTGAGTACTGTAAGTACACAAAAACTCAGAGGCTTCTTCTAGACTTATATTATACTTAAATGCGATTATTGCATAATTATGATAAAAATATTTTAAAGTGTCACTTATATTGGTAAAAAAAACACAGGTCTGAATTATAGTTATTAATAATAACTTTTAAAACAAATAAAATGTATATAATCATTTCTTATTACTTAAAGGATAATCACTAAGTACAATCGGTATGAAAATGTATGTAAAAATACATTTGTTTGAAAAAAATGTGTTTATTAAATTTTTAATATACAAGTATTCAAAATACCTTTTTGAAATATCTCTTTAATTAAAGTTATATATGTTTACCTGCTGTTAAGAATTACGGAATATGTTATAGTTTGCTGACTTTTTATATATTATTAAACTGTATGTTGCAGTTAAATAATTTTATACGTATGTCGATGAGTTTATTCGCATAAAAGATTGATTAGAGGACACTAAATTCAAGAAACCTATTTAATAATGGATATAAGTCAGCATTGTGTGTATGTAACAAGACTCTTTGTTTTCCATTTCTTGACATGACATATAATTATATCATTAGTCTCAAAGAGATTAGTTGGAACGGAAATAATCTTGTATAGTCTAAAAACTGATTTTATTAGATATTTGGTAGCAGTTAAATCTGTTTAAAATATATATCTCGACTGAGAAGAAAAAGAAAGTTCACCATAAAATCATTTAACATATAAACTCAGTCAAAACCATCTAACAAGCTCTGTATTGTGCTGTGAAATCTTATTTAGCTAAGAGATCTGCAAGAATGTTTAATAACAATATCAAATGCCAACAACTCACAGCCACATATAAACAAATGGAAACTGCAGCATCAGAGATCAAATTCATATTTTAAAAGCTTTAGATTCTTTTTTCTTTTGCTCACTCCAGTACTAAGGGGCTCATTACATGAGGTGAATTCAACCCAGGATGAAAGTTCAGCTCGGTGCCGGGTTGAAAATTGTTTACTATTACATAGACGTTTTCATCCCGCTGCAACTTTTAGTTTTCAAATTTCAACTCGGCCGGGTTGAAATTTTTTTATGTAAAATGTCTATTCGTGAAAATAATAATATTGTACAAAAAGTGTTATTTATAATTCAACAGTGCAGTCTACTTACAGCACTTATATTGTAACTTAATGGTTTAGTAATTACATACAAACTATTAGAAAGCAAACGAAATATTGCCCTTGGTGCTTATTTATGCACACGAAAAAATAACTTGCAACGTAAGAAGAAACTTGCTAGACAAAGACTTTTGAACAGAAAACCTAGAAGTTTATGGGTGGAAAAGGGGAGAACTGATTTATTGTGGCAAAATATGATTGGACCAGATGTCCCTGAAACTTGCTGGAAAAGAAATTTCCGAATGACAAAGGGATGTTTTCTAGAGCTTGCTGCTATTATAGATACTGTTGTAAGTCCTCAATCTAACTGTCCAAATTATCGTTTTTTAACTACACACAAAAAACTAGCAATAACCATTTATTATTTAAAGGATACTGGTTCCCTTTGGATGACAGCCAATGTTTTCGGCATCCATCAATGTACTGTTTCAAAAACTGTAAAAGTTGTATGTGATGCCATAAATAATATCGTTGGTCCTATATATTTACATCTACCTAAAAATAAAGAGGATATGACCAAATTAGCTTCACAGTTTGAAGTAAAGTTCGGCATGGTACAAGCATTTGGATGCATTGATAGCACTCATGTCCAAATTAAACGTCCTATTAAAAACAGTCAAGACTACTTTTGTTATAAGCAATATTTTTCATTGAATGTACAAGCGGTATGCGATTGCAAAGGATATTTTATTGATGTTGAATGCAAATGGCCAGGATCTGTACATGATGCAAAGATGTTTACAAATTCCACTATCAATAAAAAATTAATAAAAGGCACACTACCTCAAACATTGTACAGTTTACCTAATTACCATTCAATTCCTAACTATCTGATTGGAGACCCAGCCTATCCATTAACAAACTTTTGCATAAAAGAGTTTCAAAGTTGTTCAAATAACGAAGAAGTCATATTTAACAGCATGTTACGCTCTGCTAGGAACCAGATTGAATGTGCTTTATATATATATATATATATATATATATATTATATATATATATATATATATATATATATATATATATATATATATATATATATATATATATATATATATATATATATATATATATATATATACATATATATACAGTAAAATCCCGTTAAGTAAAATCCCGTTAATGTATATATATATATATATATATATATATATATATATATATATATATATATATATATATATATATATATAAGGTATATTTGTATAAACATTTGAAGAATCATTTGACAACATTTTTTTATAATTTTATTATTTATTATTTAAACTGTTAACAGTTAATATCTTAAATATATCGTAACATAAAATCTTTTGCGTCTTTTTCGTAACTACACATTCCGGAATGCTTTTTTCCGTAAGGAACTATTTCGTAAGTATTCTTACGAAATGATTTGTGTCGCAAGTTTTCTTTCGCAATGCTTTATTACGGAATTTTATTTACTATTTATATTTTCGTATAGCGCGTTACGGAATGTGCATTTTTGCATGTGCAACTTCCGCAATAACAATTCTATTACGGTAGATAAAAATGCGAAATTTTCGCAAGTTTTGTTTTTCGGCGAACAACCCTAGTGTAGATTCAACTTTTTTTTTAACAATCTATGGAATAGCTTGACAAATGAAATCATAGACGCTGACTCAATTGACAAATTCAAGAACTACCTCTACAAATTGTGTAGAGATAAAAAATTATAATTATTCAAAAACTAATATTAGCTGTAATAGTACAGTATTATTATTATTATTATTATTATTATTAATATTATATATATATATATATATATTATATATATATATATATATATATATATATATATATATATATATATATATATATATATATATATATATATATATTTATTTATTTATTTATTTTTATAATATATATATATATATATATATATATATATATATATATATATATATATATATATATATATATATATATATATATATATATATATATTTATTTATTTATTTATATTAAATGAAATCTACATGGAATGAAATCTACATGGAATGGTAATAAAAACCTTTTAAACATTAGTTCGAGAGTTAACTCATCTCCTTCATGCTTATCTTCTACCAACTCCATGATACACGACCCCATTAAAATTTCGGAATTTTAAAGTTTCAGTTCCGGAAGATTTACAGAATAAGATCCACTCATCCAATACTGACTTTAATAAATATCTTAAAAATCCTAATCTTAATTCAATGTTCATAAAACCTACAGACAAAAACGAAGTATTATCGATTATTCATTCTCTTAATGACAGCAAGGCTTCTGGACCTAACAGCATTCCAATACCTATTTTTAAAGCTCTTGCAAATGATATCTCTCCTGTACTTTCTGAACTATTTAATCTGTCATTCACAACCGGTATATTCCCTGATATTTTAAAACCTGCTTCTGTTATCCCAATTCATAAAAAAGACTCAAAACTTGAACGTAATAACTACAGACCAATTTCATTATTATCAAATGTAAGCAAACTTTTAGAAAAACTTATGTATTCTCGTATTTACAACTTTTTAAATAATTCTGCTTGTTTTCATATTCGACAATTTGGGTTTCGCTCAAATCACTCCACTTCTCACGCTCTTATTAGCATTACTGAAATGATTCGTGGTGCAATTGACAGTGGTTCTTTTGCTTGTGGTGTATTCATAGATCTTCAAAAAGCTTTTGATACGGTTGATCACAACATTCTAATAAAAAAGTTAAACTACTACGGAATACGTGGTATTGCTAATCATTGGTTTTCTTCATATATTACGGATCGCACTCAGTTTGTTTCAATTAATGGATTTGAATCCACACATAAAGTTATTAAATATGGCGTTCCACAAGGTTCCGTTCTTGGACCGTTGTTGTTCTTATTATATATAAATGATTTATCTTGTTCGTTAAAAAATTCTATGATACATCATTATGCTGACGATACCAATCTTTTATATATCAACAAATCCCTCACGACTATTTGTAAAAAAGTTAATCAAGATCTTCATCGCTTATGTAACTGGTTAAATAGTAACCGTATTTCCTTGAATGTCAATAAAACTGAATACATTATTTTTCATTCCCCTCAAAAAAACTATTGATCATATTAAAATTAAAATTAACGGTAAAAAACTTTTTCCATCAAAATATATAAAGTATCTTGGAATATATCTTGATGAAAACCTATCTTGGTATAATCAACTGTATCATCTAAAAAAAAAACTTACACGAGCTAACAGTATGCTTTCCCTAATTCGTTACTATGTTCCTATCCAAACTCTTCGAATGATTTATTTTTCTTTATTCTCTTCTCACCTTTGCTATTGTTGTATTGTTTGGGGTCAAAATAGAAACTTTTTACTTAACAACATTGCTAGTTTACAACGCGCATCTATTAGAATAATGACGTTTTCCCCAATGGAGAGATCTGATATCGAAAAAAAATTTTCTGAACTAAAAATCCTAAAACTCCATAATCTTGTAAAGTTTTACAATTGTCTTTTTGTGTTTGACTTTCTCCAAAATAAACTACCAAGCCCTTTTTCAAATTTTTTTATTAAAACAAACGAAGTTCATAATCATCACACCAGGAATACAGAAAATAGTAAGCTATACTATTCTTTTTTCAGCACAATCAAATATGGTAAGTTTTCCATAAAACAACAATGTATCTCTCAATGGAACCAGTGTATTCCTGCATTAACAAAAAAGTCTAAGAAAAAATATCCACTTGTTACGAATTTTTTACTGCTCAACAGAATTCAATTTAAAAATATATTGTTGGAGTGTATTTCTTTATAATTTCTCTCTGTACTATAGTTGTCTTGTGGTTTGATTTTTATTTTATTTATTATTTACCAATCTTATATTTATTTATTATTGTGTTATTAATGTTACATTTTATGTTATTATTATATCTAATTATCATCTATGATTTGTACATACAATTTATATTGTATTATAATATTCTTAATATTATTGGTACTTTATTGTTATTGTTATTATTTTGTGTTATTACTATTATTATTACATATATCATTATTATTTGTTTAACAATCTTTTCTTCTTTTCTTTATTATTTATATATACAGATATTAAGTTTTTCCTTTTTTTTTTTTTTTTTGTTTGTTTTTTGTTTTTTTGTTTTTTTTTGTTTTTTTTGTTTACTTCAGTTTCCTTTTTTTTTTTTTTTTTTTTTTCTTTTTCTTTCTATTTATTTATTTCTTCGTGAACTTTTTATGTTTTTTTAGGTGTCACTCCATTGACTAGTTTGTAACTATATGAGTGACACCTAACCAATTTATATTAATTTACGATGAAATTTGTAAATTTTATTTATATGGTTTAATAATAAAAAAAAAAAAAAAAAAAAAAAAAAAAACTTTTGATGGAACTCTGAGTTTCATGCCTTTCGGCAATCATCAGCCATTGTGTATTTCGTCACTTAAAAACCGTTTAAAAATTACAAATTAAAATTACGGTGGAACGAGTTCTGACGTTACCAAACAAAACAAAACAAAACAAAAAGACGTCAAAGGTTTTAGTCCCCGGTATCAAATAAGGATAGTAAAAATTTTTTTGAATGCCGGCACTTTGATATTATTTCATATCTTTTATTAAGTAAGTTTTCTCCTTTATATGATAATATGTGAAACTTCTCGCGGAGACAAAGATTACAAACTTTTGATGCTTGATTGTAGGGCTTACATTGTGCTATTATCGTCCATGTAATCACAGGATTTATTTGTTTCAATTTTAGCTCCCATATTTCTTTAGAAAGTTCAGTGTCATTTTTATATTTGGGTGCATTGAAAGATTTAAGATGGTTGGCATATCTTAATTTAAATGTGGTTTCACTTATACCGAAATAAACTTTATCTTTGCATTGAGGATCACCAGAACTTACAGTGGCTTAGTATACGATATTGCTAAAAAGGCATTGGTTATTTAACGGACAGATATTTTTGTCTATGCAGTTACATTTTTTTGATGTTTTATTTTTATCGCTATGTAAAATTTTGTTATTATGCGTATTTATTAAAGACTTGACATTAGGCATGCAACTATAGCTTACTTTAACATAGTTTCGATTAAAAATTTTATGAAGCCTGTGTCCTACTGGAAAGTGTTGGTCAATTAAAGCTAAAAAGCGATTTCCAATTAGTTTCTAGTTAGTTTTTAGTTTCAATATTTTTGCTAAACGGGGGGTTGTACCATATAATTTTACGTTTGCGATGTCTTTTTTGATTTTTGTTTATTTGCGGTTGGTAGGTGAGTTTTGAATTGTATCCTGATTTACATAACGCCTCTTCATACGGAATAATTGAGTTATTGAACACAGTTTCATTTACTGCCATATTCGATAATCTTAACTCAATAGTGCGAGGGATTTCTTTTATTATATTAGGTGGATGGTTTGACTCTGAATGAACATACATAAGTTGGTTATTGGGTTTACAATACGGTTGATAAGAACTGTCAATTAGGTTCAATGTTACATCAAGAAAATTGATAATTCTAATATTGCATTGGATGGAGATAAGTAGGTTGTTACTTTTAAAAATATGTGTAAAATGCTTTTTGATTTTTTCCATTTGCTGGCCGCTTTTGTTTTCAAAAATAGCAAGCCTGTCGTCACAATACAAGCCAAAATTATTTTTATCGTAATGTTGAGAGAGCTGAAATAACATAAAAATACCAACTAGTTCACAAACTTCAGCTCCATCAAATGCTCCCATTGTGACATCAAATAATCCACCTCTTTTCTTTATCCAAGCTTCGTCGTTATTAAAAATTAAAGATTTTCTTGCATGATATATTATTTTTTTATCGTCATTTTTTATAATAACATGTTGTTCGGCGAAACTGATTGCGTTGGTAAGAATGTTTTCACTAATAGATGGGTAAAAATTATTTAAATCAAAAATTAGAAATTTGCAAAGGTGTTTATT